GCAGAGCACGGCCCGCTGTAAGACAAGGGCGCCCTGCGGGTTGAATCCTTCAGGCTAGGTATTGGTTGTCTGGATTGCATCATCATTGGCTCTTCCCTTCAGCTCGACTCCGTTGCGTACAGGGATTTGGGGAAGTACTGGTACCGCGACCGGGGGGGCTTAGACGCCAACTGCACGATTCTATTAATAACTGACCCAGACGTCACTAGCATTAGGGAATTAGCACGGATACTAACACTTACAACCCTACGACCTAGGTAGTGAGCTAGAATCTGCAGAGATAATAGTAGAGATGAGCTGACCAATGCAGGATACCCAGCAGAATTGCAAGCAAGCCAAGATTTCAATTGATCTACTTCGAAATGTTTCATGATCGCGTGTCTTCAGATTAGATGTGGCGGCTGTTTCGAAGACGCCATCGGCAGAGATCCGAAATGATAAGGTCGATGGGGTCCAAACTGCTGGTCTCTGCTTGGAATTACCCCAAAGGATGAGGTTATTCCTAATGCCGACAGGATGACATGCATAGAAGGGCAAAAGAAGACTTCCATTTGCCCATGTAATTTCGGTTGTTGAAGCGCCCGACTACCTTGACTGCCTACCTAACCTGCTAACATAACGCATTATGTGAAGCAGGATTGCTGATCAACGAGATTCCTTTCGGATCATCACGACCACTTCCAACCGCACCTCGGTAGGTAAGGTACCTAGATGAACAGGGCACCCACGTTTCTCGGCGCACGTTGTGAGATACCGCAGCCTGTAGCCTGTAGGCTCTGGGAGTGGTGTGTTACTCGGTATGTATGTAATATCCATATTGGTATGTGAGTACCTCGCATACACATGTACATAGGTAGGTATATACATATGTATAGTATGCCGGGAACTGCCTTGCACTTACATCAGAGACGGGTAGGTTACGGAACCGAGCGAGGCCGTTCATCTTTCCTCGCCCAACCCGCCTACTATCGATTCTGCGGCTAGCCTAGCCTAGCCCTATCAAACCTTATTAACCCTTTAATAAGTGTCTAGGGTACTCGTTGTACAAGTACCCAACGATACGATGCTACGCGCACACATACCAAGGTAGTCGATACAAGTTGTCCTTTATAGCCCTATCGGCCGCAGTCTCTACTTAAGCGCCGACTTATTTATAGTCGCTGACTATATACCATACATACATGTAAACCAGCCTGCCTACCTCTTACAAACAACTTACATGATTCCTGCATGCTGGACGACTAACTCACTCACTTACCTTCTACCCTCCATCTCAACATCTCCAACCACCATACCTTATCCTCGGACTCGTCCAATCCGGAGACCAAGGATCATCTCTTCTCCAACCAACTTCTGTGAGCAACTTCTTGTAATGGTTTTGCTGCATTCCGTATCCGGTCGCGTCTTATGGTGAACAGCCACCTTGGTGTGAGTGCCATCGACTAAAATGGCCTTTTTTTTCTTACCGCAATGTTCTATTCTGACGGTGTCTTAGTTGAGGTCGATTGTTCCTGGAAATAATGTACGATTGTGAGTCCGTGTTGTACAACATAGCATGTCTCATAGGCTGCGCAAGCGCGCTGTGTGCTGCGGAATCCTACACCATCGCGTGGCACTCACGAGCGGCTCTGACGGTAACGCGAGACATGCATCGCTCGGTGACTAATCCCACTCGTAAAGAAGGACGCCTCTTCTGCCTTTTCAACGTCATGATAGATCTTTTGTTTCTCTCGCGTTCTTACTAGGGATCACGATCCGAGATCGCCGGCATTAGTGCTCTCGAGCGTCTGCATGTCTTTGCTTGTGCATTCTAATTCTGTACAACATCACCCCCCCCCCCCCCCTGCGAACTCGCTATGAAGATTACAAATATGTGCCAAGCATGATGTTGGCTGCCGACTCGCTGTATGGTACCTCGCGTTTGCTCCATTGACTATATCGAGATAGACTTAGCCTCGATTGAAGCGACAGCAGAACACAATTAGACTCTTGCATACTAATCCGTCTCGTGGCATCGTGTTTGGTCCGACGGACTTTACTTTGGGTATAGTCGTCTACGATAGTTAGCTGGGGTGGCTATGCTCAGTATACTCTCCAACATCTTCTATTCACAGAAGATGTATGTTCTAAGTACCGCCTCGTATGAGTTACACTCTGCTAGAAGTTGACTCTATTTCTAGGCTTGAGAGGCAGCGCTTTCGTGTCTTGGCCTGCTATTGCAGCTTATTCGTGCTCTCATGTGTCTATCCGTACCTAAAGATGGACAATATCAACGAAACTGCCAATCACTCGGTCCACGCCGGTGCAGTGTTCTAGCACGTAGGGCTTGGAAGATGTTGGGGAGAGGCGTTTCCCGGAACGTCAACCGAGGGCCCTTCATGACCTAAAAGGGCAATTAGAGGGCGTAGCCCCCGTTTCAGATGCTGCGGCCCTCGTCAAAGTCGACCTCCATCGTCTACTCCACGAGAGTGCCTACTAGATTCGTGTTATGCATGCACCCGCTCTTCAGTAGCAAAGGATATCCCCGCCATCCTGAAACGGACGGCTACTCCCGGTCAACTATGTTACGGCCAGAAATAACGATTAGTGACGAAGCCATAGTCGAAACAAGAGGTCTCTAGTCGTGGCTGATTCGATCAAGTGGTCTATAGCCTTTCCTACTTGGGTTATATTTTGTTGGTACTACTACTGATGTAACCGTAAGTCTATCATCCCGTCGGCCATGGCGAATGAGGATTAAGCAGGTCCATGCGAGGCACATTTCTAACGAGACCGGTGAGTACCTATGATTCTCATCTGCCGATAGGCGTACTAGTAACCTAGAGAGCCTAATGGGCTAACTACGAGTAGTCACTCGAGATAGTATAGTTCTAGCTGAGACTAGAAATAGATACATGTGTAGGACTTTGACTATCTTGACTAGTGCGTCTCCCTGCCTATACGAGGTCTTTAGCTAGTTATATCTGTATAATGAAGATCCCTAGAGTTGCTCTTGCAGAGGCCCCCGGGGGCCTACAGATTATAGACCACCAGTACGATCTTCAGCAACTACCTAACGACTGCTACAACTTAAGCTATTACATACCACTTAATATACACCCTACGGGATGTAACGCTAATCGTAAGTTAATGTGCTGCGAGTATGCCTACCTAGATATCTGAAACTCGCCCCTTAAGCCACGTAGGGCTACATATCCATGAATCCACGCGGAAACTGTGCTTCAAGTTAATGAAGGGAAAAACTGGCTGCTGTCGTGTCACCAGTTTCTTTTCACGCAACGTCATGGAGACCCCTGGATGTTCGCCCCAATGTTTGCAACTGCCTACTTCTCCATCTCCATTCGTCTATACGCCTCATTTTCGCTTGTTCTCACTCTAGAATGTTACAGTCTCACTGTGAATACTACTAAGGGATACATCGTTCTCCTAGATCTACCATCACCCAATACCACCTCCATAGACCCCGACGTCGTCACCGTGACTGAAGAGTGATGATCAGGGTCTCTGAGGGACTAGGGTTGGTCGCACCGACGGCGCTTATTACTTTGGTAGTTTCCCTGATAGTTAATCCAGGTAAGCTCAAGCATCCATTTGCCACTACTTAGACTACCTAATGAATCTTCTCAGGTAGCACGACAACAGTGAGTGGCTTACATGCGGCACAGGAAAATACTACGTCTTATATAGTAGCCTAATACGAGTAACACCTCAACTGCAGCTATCAGTTGACAAACTCGAGTCCAAGTCTGCGTTTTAGTATATGACTATTGCTGCCATGTGCTATGTACCTGTGCCTCACCTCCACCGTCGTCGACTCTCCGAGTATGTTTCGGTGCTAACCTTATATCTACGAATGCCACTGTAGCAGAAAAGGGATGATGCCACCGAGCTGCTGATCAGCCATACATTAAATGCCCATATCTACAGATATTAGGCTTTAACCCGTTCTCTGGTCCATTGGTGCGGGTTATCTCCACGGTGTAGCTCTATAAAGTGCCATCTCTCTACGGCGTAGTTTGTGAATACCCACTGTTCAATGCAACATAGTTGGTGATGTATTCATGTGGCACATAACATACATGAACCGTCACCCACGTTATGCAAGTCGTCGACCAAGCTTACGCAACACCTTCCTTATCCCATACACCAGTATATTGAAGTTGATTACTAAATTGCCACTCTCAAAAGTAACACTGATTCTGAAGCTGCCAATAGCCAAACCATTCCTACCTACAAGGTGTAAAGGAGTAGCTGCATGATAGAGTGAAAGTTTAGCCAACATGCGTCATAGTGGTCTATGAATCTCTGAGGAACACCTCGCTTGGCTATAATGAAACTCTTTTCTTACAATTACTATGACTTAAGGAGATATTGGCTGCATTGCTACTCGTTTCGTGAATCCTTTGATATATTTTCGAGCGTTCGGTGATTTGGCATGCACTTCATGATGTCGTGACACTAAATTACTAAAACTACAACCACAGAGGAGCATCCAGTAGACCGTCTATCTCCCAGAAGTCATTCTAGCCTTCTTTCCCGAATCTTCTGCTCCTGGCGATAGCGTATCTCCAAGCCTCTTAACACGCTACCCCTTTCTCTTTCCTACACCAGGCCACAGCCGTACAGGTCATTAAGAAGGTAATCACAACCTGCTCTGATTCATAGAAAATGCGTTCATTTATACATGCAGGTATCTTGTCATGAAACCTTTATAGTGCCACCAGGTGACTCGATCGACCACCTAGCAACCTGACGAGCGAGGATTTTATAACTCCGGTGTAAGTTTATCTATATTAGATACCCATTTTAGATTGTAGTTTTAATTCTCAAGTAGAGGATTATAAGTGCATAACTTTTCAACATTGACCCCTAAAACTCGCAGTGTTTTATTGGGAAGGTACGCAATCTCCTTTTTCTCTTGTTACACGGAGGTACAATCTACCTACGTACTTACCTCACCTATGTATACCGCGTTAACATCTCAACTTCCAAGATTCCAAGGCAAGATGACCGAGTTGGTTAAGGTGTGAGGTTAAGGATCACCTTAGCATCCAATTCCTCATGGAGCAATCCGCGTGGGTTCGAATCCCACTCTTGTCATAAATTTTTTTTTGACATCTTGCACACTTTGACATTCAATATACGTAATTCTCAGCTGGAAAGTAATTGACCATTCTTCTAGCTTTTGTAAGTATACAGTAGAAACATATATACATGAACATATTGTTCTGTTTGATAAAGTGATATCTTCCAGTCCTCTTACGGATAAGTTGGAGAATAGGTTAACGAATGCATCAACAGTTTCTTATATTTGTTGCTAAAGACGTTACTTAGCCTCAGCAATGACAGAGGTATCTGTGCCCTCGAATTTACCTAACCATGACTGATAGCCATGACAGACCTGCACATTCAATGTAATTACTAGCCTGGGAAACACCAATTGTACCGACAGGAAGAGGTTATTTGGTCATGAACGTTCATGCTACTTATTAACTCTATCAAATGCGGATTAACACAGGGTAAGCAATGAAGCCAATCGTCTGCCTCTGCCGTCACCTTTCGTTGTTTGACTCCTCCGAAAAAACCACCGGCAGGAGCTCAATCTTGTTCGGTTTGTTTAGGATGCCAAGCCAAGTTATATCAAAACGCCGTTCGTACCTACTTTTACTGAGGCTTTTTGTGTATACCCCCTTTCCGTCCCCCCTCCCTTAATCATTGCAAGTGGAGTCGCTCTCGTTATCTCCCTGGTCGTCCGATCCGAACTGGCTATCCCCTGCGTACGGCCTCGGGCGCCTGACTCTAGAGCGGCCTCTCTCGACATTACCAACGCTGAGGCGGGACAGTGGTCCACGCAACTAACTGGCAGACGCGACTGGTCGCCCGCGTTCGTTCTTGTCGTCGCTCTCCGAATCGTCGTCGCTCGGTGGTCGGCTGTCTCGAAGGTTACGTCGGCTTTTGGTCATCTGTTCCTGTTAGCTAGATCCGACTAAAATTACGGGATAAGGGAGGACATACCCAAGATCTTACACCGCCGATCAGGCCGAGAGTGTAGCCGGTGATGAAGTCGTTGGGAGCCGGCGCTCTCTCGCCCTGCGCGCCGGGGGACCTAGCAGCAGCAGCAGCCAGAGTAGCGGCCTCTCGCAAGTTGGCATCGCCGTTCGCACTTGGAGTGGCGGGCATAGAGAAGCGGCTAGACGGGGCCGGACTTTGAGGTCGGCTCGCAGGCCAATACTGACGCAGTTCACGACTAAGCTCTTGGCCGGTGGTAGTCCAGTTGGCTCGGATATTATCACGGAGATCTTGGACATGACGCTTAAGGTCGAGCTCGTTCTTCTTGAGCCAGCTGACGTTGAGCTCTTGACGTGTCGTTCCTCGCTTGAACTGGCGCGCAATGTACTTTTCGTAGTCGCGAACAATCCTACGTGTTTTGTGGTCAGTATGACTTTACCTAGAAGAAGATCAAGGGGTGCTGTAGTGACTTACTTTGTGATGATGCCTGTAGTGCTCACGCCTTCGGTTCGCTGCGTTACCAAGAATTTGCCTGCCTTCTTGATAGGGGCATAGATGTCATCACCCTCGTCGGCTCCGTAGGGGAGATCATCGTGGGCAACGTAGTCAATCTGGTGCTTGTCCAGAAACTCGGGGGTAACGATCCAGGGGCAATCCTCAACGACCTCGTCGACCCACTTGCAATGCCTGACGGTCTCGGCCCTCTCCGCACCCGAGAGGACGGTGAGGCCCTTGCGCTTGTGTGTTTCCTCGTCACCGGTAACACCGACTAGCAAGTATACATCGTCAAATGCTTTCTTGGCTTGTTCGAGTTGGCGCATGTGACTTATTACCAGGAAGATTAGTTTAGTTCTGGTCTTAGTATTGAGTACCTAAGAATAGAGCAGTACGTACCCAAGATGAAATAGATCAAATACACCGTCGGCGTAGACTCTGACAGTGCGGTCAACAGGAGGAGGGTTTGTTCTGTATCCAACTGGGTGTGTGAGTCGACCAATGGGCGGCGGTGGCATGGCAGTTTCCTTCATCTCCACGTCCTCTTGAACTGCCATGTCCTTAGTCGAAGAAGCTTTTCTATTCTTTCTAGTGACACGGTCCGCAATATCAATGCTCGCCTCGGTGGTGTCGCTAGGCTCGCCAGGGTCCACGGTATGGTCAGTGGTTTCGAGAGCGGATGCCCGATCGGAATTGGCTCGTTGTCGCTTAGCTGGGTTCGAATTGCTAGCCGACTCTGATTTACGGTGGGATAGTTTTCCAGACTCTGGAGCTGTAGTGTCACCCTCCTCGCCAGATGCATCCCGTGAGGATGGCTGCAGTAGGGGGTTGTCGTCCATCTTGGAGTTTCCGGTTGCTGGACGTTTGCGTTTGCCAGCGTGAGAGAAACTTAAAGGTGATGACATCTTGTCGAGTAGCGAGTAGAGTAGCGGGAAGGGAGGATAGAAGAATCAATTGATAGGATGAAACGTTCTTGCTCAGCAATTGGTGCGTTGAGCGTGGAAAGTTGAACGTAGGAATAATAACTACACCAGCTATTACTTCCTCGTCAAATGGGGCGCCGGACAATGACAATGGGGAAGCGCAGCCGTAGCGTTGATTGGTTTATGGGCTAAAGAAGCTTTGGGCAAGCGTCATGAAACTAACATCAATTAACGTAAGGATCCTGATATGGGGGTGAATTCCAAAAGATCAATGACGTTGGTTATGGTGCAACTACGAACCGAATAACCAATAAATCAAGAAGTAGTGTAGCAGTGGTAGTTTGGTATTCTTTTTTGGCGTTAGAGAACCCGTCAATTAAGGGCGAAAGCTTGACACGTGGATGCGTGAATCCAACCAGAGAATTGGGTGTTCCGCGAATTATCGGTATCTCATGTATCGATAAAGAAATCAACTTTCTTTCTTTTCCCCCCTGGTTACCTAGGTAGTACAGAGCTAACGCTAGTCATAAAAGGGGTTGCAATAAATGATTAATATTTTTCAAAGTGAATATTTAAAATTGCACAAATGCTACACCGTGAAGACACCTTTTCCATGCCAAGTCCCCATCCATGAAGACCCAAATTTCGATAATTTCAAAATTTCCCAGAAAATCATCCGGTTCCTTTCCAAGCAAGAGACGATGCGAGTGGCGTCATGAACTACCAATTAGCTTCTAAGATTGGCCTAGTTCATCACGCAAATGGAGGTGTGGCTAACGATAAGCTCCTGTGGCGTTTGTCCAAGCCACGTCATTGCACTCCGTCCATAGGTGACCTTTGGAAGAATCAAGCTTCGACGCCGTGAAACTAAGTGAACTTTGACTACAACGGGGCACTATGACATATTATGCGATTTGATGGTCATTGGATGGTAAATGCTTAGAATAAGTCAATAGAAAACAAGTCCTTCAACTTTATAATTTAAGCAGGTATATATGTACCTCCAGTGAAGCTATCTTGGGCTCGCTACCACAAGTTGATATTCTCTTCTACACAAGATTCAAGTAACATAACGAGGAAAATGTAATATGAATAGACATGTTCATTTCTCTGTATCGTATAAGTCGTCTGCTACCTAGGTATATTCCCAAACACGTTCGCCGATATAACCCAATTCATGTCTCATATGTAACTCCTGAAAATGTTGCCAATCGAATCAACTACGGCAATCTGCGGTATTTGATCAAAAACTTGATTCCGTAGAATCCAATCCAATCCAATCCAATCCAGTAAAAAAGCGCACCCCGCAACCACAGCCTCGTACAAACAGCTCCGCCGACTGTAGGTAGGTCCCCGAGAAGGAGGGGATCCAATAACAAAGGGGCGCTGGTGAGGCATTTCCAGGCCCTATGGGGGTATATAGAATTCATTCCAACACCTTAGCTAAACGTAAATACGCTAGCTGCTCGAACGCCAATCTCACCATCTATTCCGTTCTATCTTAAGTGAGCCGAACGGGCCGCTGCTGCCGCGTGTGCCTGCCGCACCGGTGCGGGTGTTTCGGGGATCTTCTGAAGCAGAACCCCCGTGCATCCTTGGGAGCCGCCGGGCCGAACTTCTGCGACACCTCGCAGTACTCCTGGCCCTCGCCGAACAGCTCCTGGATATGGTTGTGTAGCTCGCACCGGGCCGTGCGGCACTTGCGGCAGTACACCTGGCCTCGTGGCGATAGTGTGGCCAACGAGTTTTGCTTGCCGACGCCGCTGCTAGGCAGGAAAGGTCCCGAGATGAACGCGTTCCGCCATACCCATTCCATGTCGTTAGGTCCCTCTCGTCTGGTGGACAGCGGTATCTTCCCGTGCATCCGCTTGTGAATGGAGTAGAAATGCTTGTTTGTCAGTCCCAGGCACGTGCTGTCGATGGGGTCCAAGAAATCGAAGACGGCGTAGTGTAGTTCCGGCGGCATATCTTCTAGAGTTAGAGCTACGCCGGGTTGGTGTGTGAAGGGAACCGGCTCAACGTCGGTCACTGAATATGATCTCAGCGGCCCTGGCATGGCTGGTCGTTTGGTTTGAGTAAGAATTGTCACCAGGGGCGACGGGGGAATCGGAGAAGCAGCCTGTTGTGTTGCAACATGAGGTTGGAGATCGAAATAGCAGTCTGTCTCTGCGGGCGACTCCTTCGGTGTAAGCAGTCGTTGTCTTTGCAGAACAACCGGAGACCTGGCCGATGCTGGATAATCAGTCGAGGAGAAAGCGCGTCGAGGGCCGCGGGCAGCGGCAGCAGCCTTGGATCCCGCTTCCTTGGGAGATCCCTGCAACACCATCGACGAATCCGAAGGAGGGCCGAGGTCCACGTTGTGGAATCTGTTCGACACCTCCATCATGCCAGGCGAACCCGACGACATCGACTGCCCTAGGGTAGGTGAACGGAGGACTTCAACCATGTTGACGGTTGGTAATGAGTATTAGGATAAGGTCTCGTGCGCAATGCTGCTCAGTGGTGTGCTCTAAGTGCACACAGGATTTAGACCCAATTAATGTAAGATGGTGCTGGTTTTCTAATAGAAGAGTGGTATTCAAGTTACAGGGTGCTGACGACCCTTGGATGTAATTTGAATACGGCTTCTCGGTTCTTCGTGAGTGCTGTTCGGTCGCAAGTGTTACCAACTAT